GGATGCAGGAAACATTAGAGGTACCTCTTCTTTGCACTTCACGTGCTCTTCCCGTGGCAGGGAATTCTGGCAGCGTGTTATGAGTTTAACTGTGATCCTGCCTTTACTGCACCCACACAGATCCTCACAAAGTCTGAGGCACTTAGCAGCTCCAGAACTGTAAAGGTGTGGCTTAGCCAGGTCCACAAAGAATGGTCCCAAAGAGCACACCTGTAGAAACATCTTGGTCTTTCTCGTGTCCTCAGCTTTGTTTTCTGCCCCACATTTGCCCAAGCACAGAGTGCCTGAAGCACAGCTGGGCTGCAGCTTCAGGATACTGGGAAGCACATAAATCCTGTGGCCTAATGCTTTATAGGGTGGGATTGTGTTTGCTTTGCTAGTCTTAATTTATTTTGAATGGAGACTGTCATAAGCAAGGTGCACAAAGGTATTTGTGCTGTGATTTTATATCAATTTGAAAAGAAAAAGCATCTTTGGTGATATGGATCACACTGAAACTCTCTCTCGTGGAGCTGTGAGGTTTTAGCCTCAGTTGGGGTTGGTTAAGCTGTGTCAGATTGGGGCCACAGCTTTCACTTACTGGATGCTTCATTATAACAGGGTTTGCAAGGTGCACCCTCTGGTTCTAGGAAACAGTGACACTGCTTCCACTGTAAGTAGATGTGCATTGCATATAAATTCACCACCACAGAGTTTTGCAAGCCACACAGAAAAAGCCTTTCTCTCCTCTGTTAATTTTAGTTGGTATTCCTGAGCACTAACACTGAAATTCTTCAGATGTTGAATTGATCTTGCTGGGTCAGCATTGGCTCCAGCTTCTCCTCATCACCAGTGAGGCTTTTCTGCTGTCTCAGTTGGCAGAGGGAGGTGGATGCATGAGGGTGCTTTGGGCATTTGCTTCCACTTTGGGGAGATATCTGCACATGCTTGCTTGTTCAGGAATTGGCTGTTGAGAAATACAGAAAAACTGGCACTGAGGGTGTTCCCTGAATAGTTAAAATGACTGCTGGCATCTGTCCCACCTTTCTGCTGGCTCTTTTTCTGGTACTGTGTGGAAGACACAACTGGCATTAGACTGGCACTGCCAAAAGGACCAAATGACCTTGAAGTGTCCACTGAAGTTTGGATAGCTAAAGAGAGTGTCCTTGGCTAATGTGTCCGTGGGGATCCTGAAGGGGCACAACACTTCTGTGATGAATGAAGTGGAGGAGGAAGCTTGAGAGGACTGTACTTGAGGATGGGGAGGGTCCAGAGATGATCACAGAATCAATCAGGTTGGAGAAGATCTTTGAGATCGAGTCCAACCTGTGACTGAACACCACCTTGGCACTGAGTGCCATGTCCAGTCTTTCCTCAAACACCTCCAGGGGTGGTGACTCCACCACCTCCCTGGGCAGCCCCTTCCAGTAATGCAGAGTGGAGTCAGGAAATATTTTGTATGCAGGCACTTGTTGAGGGGCCAGGACACTGGAGGAAAATGAGTCTCCCACAACAGGATATCTGCTAAAATATGTGACATAAGAAACCCAGTGCTTCAGAAATGTGAGAGGATGACTGCAGTGTACACAATTCCAGGGATGAGGCAGCACTTTTGTTCCAGCAGAGGTAAAGCAAAGTTTAAGCTCTGTGTGGGATGTCTGTGTGTCAGTTCTGTTGACTGCACAACCACCGGGAATGAGTCAACTGGAGCTGACCATGTCTTTCCCCAAGCCATGCCAGCTCTAGTCTGGGCAAATCAAGAACGTGTCAGCTTGATGGTATGAGGATGAGTAAGTCTGCAACACCTCAGAGCTGGCACGAGAGGAGCACAGAGCGGTTTCCTACCCAGCTGGCACAGATCCGGGGCCAGCAGGCTCGACGGGAGCCAAGCACGGAACGGAGGGAAACTGTGAGTTAGAACCTGGTTGTCCCAGTGCAGGGTTGTCACACAGCATCCTGCCAGAGGTGGATGGTCCCTGTGCTTCTGTGGGAAGAGCTCGGAGTCCATAAAACACCTACAAATAACTGCCCAGTTCACTGCCTGACACACCAGCCTGTGTGACAACTGGTCTGCGTATGGGTAGAAAGGTTTCCTGGGGAAATTTAAAAGCTATTCTTGGTGAGACCAGGAGAGCACTTAGAACAGCCTCATTTGGTGGCCAAAACAGTACCAGGACGTGGTATCAACCCAGTATTTTCTTCCCTGAGCAGTTCCTTGAGCAGCAGTTTCTTGTGACTGGTGCTGGAGAACTGGCCTGGGAGGAGCAGCTGGGGAGGGAGGGTGGGTTGGGAAGGAGCTCTGCCAAGCTCCTAAATTTCCAGGCTGTGTGCAGTTCTCCTTGTTTAGAAATCTTTGTTCTGTCCAGTAATCCCCTCATTTTCATGCTCTTCATACTTTCCTGTAAAGAAAGAATTTATTTCCAAGGACCCGCAGGTTGTGCACCAGTAATTAAATAATAACAATTTCTGGCTTAGCCCTTTGTAGACTCCTGATTTACCTGGTGTGTGTGTGTGTGGACAGGGTTTTATTCACTAGGAAAAAATACTCTGCTACATAAAAATAATCCATTTATAACACAGGCTATTGCTTCATAGAACAAAGTGTGAGAATTACCATCTGAACAGATTGATGAGCTGCCATTAGAATTAAAATGCACATTCAGGTGGAACATTATTTACACTATAGACAGCTGAATTTAAAATACACCGGTGAAGGTTCTTTCCCAGTTTTTTTGAAATTGGAAACCAGCCTGTTACATTGCATCACTCCCTGGGAGCACGAGGCAGCCTCTCAGGTTGGAAACTACTTTAATTGTGCCCGTCTGCCCCGTGCTGTGGATTCCTGCCCACACGGAGGGGGGAACGGATCCTCCCTGGGGTGTGTCTGTGCCCTGATTTCACCTGCAGCCCCTCAGCTACCGAGCCCAACCGTTCATCTCCCCGTGGCCCACACAACACCTTGCTCAGCCCTCCCCACCTGAAGGCACTGGGGGAGTCATAAAACAAGCTGCTTGGGCTGCTGGGGAGTGGCAGCAGGAAAGCTCCCTTTGGAGTGGGATTATGGGATATAAACCAGGTACCTACACAAAGCTCCGTGTTTAATTTCCCTGATTTATTGGTGTGAGCTTCTTGCACCTTCAGGGATGGTGTATTATCTCCTGTTCCTGGAAAAGGGGAATGCCCGTTGTTCCCTGCTCTGTTTTCTGACTGAAAACTTCTGGAAGGTTAAGCAGTGGGTTGGTAGCAGAGCTTTGGGAACAGATTGAACTGCAGTGGCATTGCTGCTCCTTTCAGCCTTCCCAGCTCAAAGGTGCTGTGGGATACAGAGGGGATTTAGAGCCCTTATAGTCCCTGATTGCTCCACAGCAGAGAGAAACTTCCAGGAAGAGCTTTAATCCAATGGCTGGGACTTCCAGGCTCCCAGTTCTGCGGGAATACTCAGAGGGAGAATTGGTTCTGACTGTGACTTCCCAGGGTTTGAGGCTCTGCCCCAGACAGAGGATTTGCCCTGCCCCGGGGTGCTCCCTCCAGGATGAGTCCCAGCAGGAAGGAGTCTCCAGCAGCCAACAGAGCTTCTGCTTCACTTTCCCTTGGGCAGAAAGAGAGAAGGGAAATTCACTGGGAATACTTGGGATATGACTCTGCAGGCTCATGGCAAATCCTGAGTTCTGGTCAGCCACAGTGGGCGGGTGCAAATCATTCTCTGTGGGTGACCACTGACAGCCACGATGTGTTTGTGAGAGCCTGTTTGAGCAGATGAGAAACTGGGAGGGAATTGGCCTGCTTGTCAGGAGTTTTCAGTGGTGCAAAATGCAGCTTTGATATTTCTCCATGGCTGTCCCAATTTCCACTTAAAAGGAAATAATAATTAAAAAATACATTTTTCAATGAAGAGGCTCCTGACAGGCAATTTTTGTAACACTGGCACAGATTTTCCCTTCCCAAAATTGGCTGACTGCAAGCCAAGATTGCAACACGTTTGGAATCTGCTGGTCAGAGGTTTGGAGCTGGCTTTCTTATGAGGTTTCTAGTTCTTCTTGGCTTGGGAGCAGAGGTGGGGTGCCAAAAGGTAGAGGCGTAAAAAATCTTCCCTTTTGAAGTTAATCAAATAATTTGAACGTTTCTCACCTCTACCTTAAGATTGTTGGGATTAATCCAGTGGCATATGGTAACCTTGAAAGACCTCCAGCACCTGTACCAGAGTTGTCTCTCTGGTTTTAATATGGATGAGTTCTGCCCTGAAAAATTTTCCCTCGTTCCTGATGACGTTCACGAATCCCTGTGCAGCTCTGGAAGGTTTCTCTGGGGATTCCCCAAAGGAGCAGCAGCCATGGCTATCCCAGGATTGTGAGGGACTGTGGCACTGTGTGTGCTCTCAGATCTGTGTGTTTGCAGGGGCACAGGAGAGCCTGAGCAAGGAGCCTGTGATGAAATCCTGGGGCTCACGGGTGAAGTGGGAAGTTTATTTAAGGTTTCTTTGCAGCCCTTTGTGCTTTTGGTGTTCACTTACAAGGTGTCAGGGAGAAAAACCTTAAAATGACTCTGAGAGCACTGTAGGGAGACAAACAAGGATTTTGGGAACTCCTGAGCTACAGGACGTGTGCCTGTCCTTCTGAGCAGGCCTTGTTGGCAGTAGTTTAAACCCAAAGGACGTGGTAGAGCTGGATGGTTGAATGTTGAGGTGCAAACTTTGGCATTGATGGATTTATGACCAAGTAGTTGTCACTGCTTTCCCACAAACTTTGGTGTGACCCCAGGGAAACTGCTGAAAGTTCCTGCAATTAGGATTGGGAGTTTTGAAATATATATTTTAAAAAGACCATTAAAAAAAGAAAGGCCACTATGCTGGAGCAGAACAGCCTGTTGATACTTGCACAGTAACTTGAGCAGCAGCTGGTTTGTCCGTAGTTAAACTTGCCAGACTTTTAGTTCCTCAGCTCAGGAACAGGACTAATTGTTTTCTTCACCTGACAAAAAGCATTGAGAGGATGAAAGGTTGTGAAGTTGCCTTTGAATTTCAGGTGTGGGGAGAGTGAAACGAGAGAGAAAGCGGATGTATCACACCGAGTCAGGGAGGTGAAGACAGCTCCTTCATCCATGAGGATATTCTCCCACCTTGGTGCAAGACAGCAAAGGTAAGACAAAGGTGGGGGGAACAGGCCACGAACAGCATCTGAATTCCTGCTTTTTCTGCAGAAGAACTGTTAAATCTGTCAGATTTTAACAGAAAAGACCTTTGAGGTCGTCTCGTTCCAATATTGGATTATTGGCATCAGAAGGCACGGAGATCTCAGACTCTTGCCTTTGCTGTGCCACCCAAATAAGGAGTTTTTGCTGCTCCTGGGGTGGGAGGATTTACCCACCGAGCTCCCGGAGCAGCAGGATGGGAAAATCGAAAGAGCAGTGATCAATAAAGAAGTAAATGGGAAAGGAAAACAGCTGGAGGCTGAGAACTAAACTGATACAGAACAAATTGTTTTTTCTTCCCATGACTTGGAAAACAGTTGTAGTTGTTGTGATTGTTCCTTATGGGTTTTTTTGGGGCTGGCTGGATCCAGCATAAGAAGGTTCCGAAGCTCTTCAGGAAGGTTCCTGGTGGCATCAGCCACGCTGAGTTCCAGATTACACAGCAGTTAAACTCAGATAGAAATCTGTGCTTGCTTTGATTCAGCAGAGCAATTAAACCATGTGCTTTAGATCCACTTGGGATTTGAGCGTAACCTAAAAGTTAAGCATGTACTTAACATTTTGCTGAGCTGGGGCCTGAGTCTTTAACCCTTGCTGGAACACAAACTCCTCCCTAATGAGTGTTGGCAGATAACAGGCCTGTTTCTCAATAATGTTTGATTTTTTTTGCAACCTAGGAGCCTTTCTCTCAGCTTCAGTGGGCTTTGGATCGGGGCCCAAGAATGCAATCCAGAAATAATAATTTACCGTATTTACATTGCATGTAAATTATATATGAAGAAATGAAATGGCATAATGAATCAACCACAGGGGCTTTTCTTCCCCTCTGATACCAGAAGAGAAAAAGCCTGTAGGCAGCTCACAACTTTTCTGACTAATACTCTTGAGCCCTTCTCTTATTAAGTCTTCTGTTTTCTCTGGCAAAGCCTCCCCCGAATGTTACCCTCAGAACAACCTTCTTAGTCCATAAATGAGATTTTGATTCTGCTGTTATTAAAATGTACCACTGAGCACAGGGTTTACTGGTGGGAAAATCCCATTAAGTATTTCTGAAATACCCTTTAACTGCTTGATTTTTAAGATGATAGGCAAAACTTAACACTTCTCACAATTATGTGTACAATAGCTGGTACACTCACCAGTCTGGTGATATGAAGGGGAGAAAGCAGATATTGAGTCTTGTGTTTTAATGGCTTTGCTGTCTGGAGGGTGTGGAGGGCCCTAATTTTAATATAAATTGTTGTTTATTGAGGCTTTGAACCTGGTCTGTTCTGTCTGTGAAAATACATTTCTGGGATGGAGCAGTCCAGGATCCCTTAGAGAGGTAACAGGGAGTCAACAGGTAGAAGGTGGAGCTCTTAAAACAAAGATGTATTTTGCATTCAAAAGGCTTCATCAATAAGGTGACAGTCCAGGGGAGGTCTCTGTTTCTCTGCACTGCCACAGGTGCATCACCAGTTTTGTGACAAAGGAGTGTTTTAGGTCACTCAAAAAAATCACCAGCAAAGGTATGGGCAAAAGCAGGTTTTAGTAGTAAATGAAAGCATCAAAAGGTTCCTTGTCAAAGTTCACTCTACTGCTTTCTAGGCGGTTGAAACACAGAGAGAGAAATCAGACTAAAATTTAAATCAATCAATCTGAAACTAAAAATCAACTCAAACCTAAAATCTAAAATCAACCTAAAATTTTCTACATGGAGGCTGGGTATGGAAAAGGGTCAGGGTGTAAAGAGTAAGGATAAAAGGGAGTGAGGGAGAGCCTCCCGCTGAGCCACAAGGTTCGGAGCAGATCCCTCTTGCCAAACTTAGCCCAGGACGTGACCAGTGGTTTAGGCCTGAAGGTTATAACAGCACTTAAGCCTAATTGAAATATTTTAGCAAAAGATACCATAGAATTTACTATAGCACAACAGTAACTCTCTTGTGGGCCTGACTTATCTATGAATCTAAATTACCTGAGAATCCGGGAAGCACCTTCCACTAGACCAGGTTGTTGAGAGCCCCACCCAACCTGACCTAGAGCACTGATAGAAATGGGGCAGCCACAGCTCCTCTGGCCACCTTGGTGTTTTTCCTCCTCTGTTGTCCACCCCTGAGGTGGCTGATCCTGTTCCCTCTAACTAAATTTGGGGAGTCTCTGAATCCTTTTAGCCCGAACTGATGATTCAGATCTAATCTCCGGGAGCGGGTTTGAACTGAGCCTGTGATTCAGGATCTGTTCCTTGGGGCAGGTGAGACGTGGCTGCAAAAAGCCCAGCTCTTCTTCTTTGGCCAGTTGTTATTACTCCATTTGGTGAAACATTAGAGTAAGAGTATATTCATAAATAAATTTAAAAGGGTTAATGCATGATGAATAGACTGTGTAAGCATATTACAGGCATGGTTATTATGTGATACAGGTGATCATAAGTCATGGTTAAATGCAACCTATTGACCAACTGGACTCTGTAAAAGTCTGTAACAAGACATTAGCCACTTGTTAACAGAGCTAGTAATCATTTATTGATCTGACATGCAGCATTTATACATCCGCCACCCTGGAAAGTGTGGAATTCAATTCCAGGACCTCCTTGCAAGTCCCTCTGAGTATAATGGGTGACACAAATCTCTCACTGGTGAATGTTTAGCTGTCAGGTATTATCAGGGCTGGTGAGAGGCCAGTGCTGTCCTCAGGTGCACGAGGGCCTGGGGCTGTAACACCAGGGGTGATCTCAGCACTGGGCTGCCCCTCTTGGAGCTGTGCAGAAAGAACTGAGCATTTGCAAAGGGTGTTGATATTTTTATGTTTGGTTTTGTTCAGGTTAGCAATGAAGTACCCACATTTTGAAATTTATCAGTGAGAGGTGTTGGGACCATTGTCAGGGACAGTCCAAGGGATTGGGGTTCCTGTTGTGAGATCACGGCTGGAAATATTCAGGCCCTCGTGTCTGCAGAAGTCCCAGCCAAGGCTCAAACAGATCTCAAAACTCACAAGCAAGGTAGACTAACCCATCTCTGCTGAATCTTTCTGTTTGAAAGAAATAGTAGTTTCCAAGAGAAGTGTTTAGCTTGAATTTGTCTCCCAACTTTCTTAGTCCCATCCAAACACAGGTGAGAAAGCAGAATGATCCAACTGTCCCAACACAGTGACAAAAGGCAAATAAGGTCCCCAAAAGTCAGAATAAAAGTACTCCAGGGGTTTGGTAATGGCCTGCCTTTAAGAAATGGGTAACTGATGTTGAGAGGGGCAAATTGTTGGAGGGTTAGGGAGGGAGAAGGAATAAAAAGGTGAAAGGTGCGGGAAAATGAAGGAGAAGGGAAGAGAGAAATAAGGAGTGGGGAAATGGACAGAAGCTGAGGGAATCACCCTCATTAAAGGGATTAACAAGTAGGGATTCCTTCCCGATCCCTAGGTGTTAAAGTAAGGCAGTGCAATAAGAAATACGTTGGAAAGCCCACAGTGCAGCCCTGCAGTGCAGAGCGACACTGAGAGGAGGCCTGCATTCCTCTCCTCCTCCTTCTAGTGGGAGGAAGGAGTGATTTCATCAGGAAAGTGAGAAAAAAATGATGGAATGGCACATTCATGAGGCAACATAGTGAGGAAATAGAAGACACACAGCCCTGGAGGCTGGGAGAGGATGGCCCTTAATTCCCTGTCTCTCCGTGTTCCTCTGGCTCTGGGACCCGGAGCACACAGCCCATCTGATTTAATAAAGGCAGGAAGCAAACGGTGCTGGAGCCATGAGAGACTGCAGATAGGGGTTGGAGAAGGGTCAAACTCATTAGTCATATGATGTGATGTAGAGTGTGGGGAGGGGGAGACGCTTTGAGGGTTAAGGGGAGTGGAAACAGTTACAGCACTCGAAAAATGGATGTTAACACAGCTGACCCGAGTGCTGGGCTGCAGTGTGACTTCTGGGGGTAAGGACAACATCCTGGCCTTTCATCCTTTCCCTTTTCTCGCTTTGGGTCATGGTTTTATAGTTCCATTCTTTACAGCTTATTCAGTATTCCTGGGAGCTGGGCTATATTTGGTGTCTGTAGCACCCAGGGACTGGAATCGGGGGTCCCTGCGGGGCCGTTGCTGCTTCAGAACATCTGTCCCTCCCAAAGTGATGCTTCCTCCTGGCTGTAGCAGGAGCTTCTCAAACTCTGTGTTCCTCCTTCAGCAAGACTCCAAATGAACTTTCCACTGGCGTGCTGAGGAACTTCAAAGGGTGTTTGTTGGCCATGGCAGGGGATGAAGCATAAACCAGAGAGATAACACGGGAGAAAATGCACAACCACAGCCCACACATGTATTCCTCTTGCCCTGTGAGGAGCCTGATGAAAGATTCCAGGATAGCCACAGTGTAAAGGGAAGTTTTCCATGTGTTCTCGGAGCAGGAGCAGCACAGGTGGTGCCAGGTCTGGAGGGAAGGGGGTCAGTTAATTCCCAGTAAAGGGGTACCTTTATTGGGCACCTCGTTTGTTCTCGAGCAGACACCAAAGAGCTCAGGGATGGTCACAAATAGATGCCACTGCCATTAATGAGCTTGCCTGAATATATATTCATTAAAGGCACAGTTTAAAAAGTGGTTTCATTCCAGGAGGAAGTTCAAGAGTTCTGCGTGATGTGCTGCCTTGCAGGACAAACTTTGCTCATGGCAACAAATCTGTTTATTTCTAATGTTGCCTTTTTTTTTTTTAATTAAAAACAAGGATTTTTTTTCTGGTTTTTTTTTTTTAACATGAAACTAAAAACAGGCATTATAGGCACCAGGTCAGCAAACAATGAGAACAGATTTGAACTTTCCCTCAGAGATGTTTATTGAAGTTCAAGGGGTTTTTATCACTCCCTCTTTCTTGCTGTGGAAGGAAATCCTAAAATAGAACACAGTCAAAACTTTTTTCTCAGCATGTTTCTGGTTCAGCAAGGAATTACAATTATTGAGTCATAAAGGGTGGGAAAAAGCAATTTTTAAGTGAAA